CATGAGTGTTTTAAGTATGATGATAATCCTAGTTTTTTTGGAGGTATGTATCTAACTCCTTACACATTTTTGTTTGCTAACTGAGCTCATATTATATGTCATAACAAACATATTTTATGGTCTCATTAAAAACTTGGTAGAGCCCGAGAGGAGTGGCTCACGCTTGTAATCCTAGTGCTTTGGGAGGCCGAGGCAAGAGGACTGCTTAAAACCAGGAGTTTGAGACCAGCCTGGGCAACGTAGTAAGGCCCTATCTCCATCTCTACCAAAAAACAAAAAAATTAGCCAGGCATGGCGGCACACACCTGTGGTCTCAGCTACTTGGGAGGCTGGAGTGGGAGGATCACTTGAGCCCAGGAGGGGTGAGCTATGATCACACCACTGCACCCCAGTCTGGGTGACATAGTGAGACTTTGTCTCAAAAAAAAATTTTAGATATTAATATTTTAATGGCTGAATAACCCTTCATCATAATTTACCTATTATAGTAATTTGGTTATTTAGAATGCTTACTTTTTTTGTATTATAAATAAAAAATATGATGAACATATCTTTCATCTAGTTTTGCCCTCAAATCTGACTTTTTCCTAAGGCTATATTCTTAGAATGGTTCAGCAGGTGCCAGAGAGATAAATTAAAAGAGGCTTTTGACTACTGATGAAAAAAGAAAATGGGTACATTATGAGAGGTAGTATGACTTTCATCAAAAAATGCCATTACTTCTTGCAATTCTAACATTTAACGTGTAACCAAAAATAGAGATTCAGTACAGGTACTGAGGCCTATCTGAGTTCTAACTGTAACTCTGCCACTAACTCATTGGGACAAATAACTCAAACTCTTTGTGCCTCAGTTTCCTCATCTTTGAAATGGCAATTATAATAATTCCTGCTTCCTTGGGGGGTCGTGAGAATTAAATGGGTTAGTTTATATAAATCTCTTGGAACTATGCTTGGCACAGAACAAGTATACAGTAAATGTTTATTTATAACAGCAGCAGCACCAAGATTTAAGAGACTATTTACTAATTTTACTTTCTCAAAGGACATTCCTTTGTTTCTATTCCCATGGCATCTTAAATACTAAAGTACCTCATAATGCTGTAGTTAGAGCTACTTCAAACCTGCAAATACATGCATGGAATGTACTCTAAGATTCCTGGAATTGTTTGTATTTTAGTTGTGCACATAAATCGCCCAGCGTATACCTAGATCTTTATCTCAAATAGCCAATGGCAGAATTCTCATGAGCAAAGTATTTTTCATAGATGGTTTGGGGGATTTTATAGTTTTTGCCTTCGAGTACAAAAGTTACTAAATGACTAAATAAATGAAGAAATGACTAAAATAAAGAAGCAAAGTGTGTTGTGAACTCGTGGATGTCAGTTATAACTCCAGTGGAAAGAGAAAGCTGACCACCCCAGTCTGCACCCCAAACCCTTGGCCATTTTCCTGCTGCAGCCACACGCTACGAGGGAGGCTGCGGCTGGGTGTCCCCAGGCACGTTCACTCCACGTGTTGCAGTATGGCTTTTGCCCCCGTTTGGAGTCCCTGCCCAGCAGAGCTTACCTGAACCCGATGGAGCTACTGGTGACTCTTGCCTAGACGAGGCAGGCCTAAATGGCCTCCTTGGCCCACTTCTGCTAAATTCATAGCTTATCTTGGTCCATTATGTCTTAATGTGCCAGTGCTACAAAGGGAGAATAGAACCAGAAGAACAGTATATAGAGATATGTTGCCTCAATACAGGTTTCTTCCTACTTGTCCCTCTAAAGTAGGACTATTGATATTTTGAACCAGGTAACCCTTTTTATGGCAGGCTGTCCTGCGCATTGTAGGATGTTTGGTCACATGCCTGGCCTCAGCCCACTAGATTCCAGTAGCACACACCCATCCCCACTGTGATAACCAAAGATGTCTCCAGACAAAATCAGCTCTGGGTGAGAAGCATTTCTTTAAAAGCTCCACCACGGTAGCATGCCCACTTGTATCTCAGCCTTGGCTGACTGCTATCAAATGCTCCTCCTCAGAGAATTCAGCGATGAGAAGGGACTGTGAGTGCCACCTCCAAGCTAGAGTGTGTTAGAGCGTACACCAACGCTAAACTATGTAGACCCTGACATGGACACCCAAAAGTATAAAAATAAAGCTATTCTCTCTACCTTTATGATAAGGCCAAGGGGAGTATAAATTTATTTGGGCTTAAATCATGAGTTTCTAAAAAGCTCATTTCCAGCTAAAGAAAATGGTCTTTTTCCTCAGAGTTAATACATGTGAACTAAAATTAATTACATCAGTGAGACAGCAGGTTTTAAAATTGTACCATGTTATTTTTATTTTTCCTATAGTCATTGCTATAGTGAAGGTGTCTCCAAGATACATCTTCAAGAAGAGATACCATTAATCATCTTTAAAAACTTTCATTCCTTTTGAAATAATGCATGTACATTTCATAGTTCCAGTAGTCTGAGAGTTACTGAGCTACTCTTTTTCCCTAGCAATTCTGTTCTTTCATAAACTACATGTATTTTCACAAGCTCGATTCTTTGTACTACTTTGATGTATAAATAATCAGTTTATATATTAAAGTTCATGGTTAATGACAATCGTGTCTATGTTATTTCTATAGAAATTGTATTATCACAGAATATTCTTAGACAAAATGGAGCTGATGTACTTGCTATTATCTGAGTTCTAAGTCATTTACATTATAGAGGCTATTTTAATATAACCTGACAGAATGAAATAAGCTGCATATTACTTTTTTTTAACCTTAGAATATTTCACCTTTATATCATTTGGGGGTTCTATAGTCCATTCAGGAATTTATCACTGAACCTAAAATGTTGTCTCCTTGTTTTAATACCATGAAGTGTTGCCAAACAACTACTCTTGTGTTTGCTTTAATATCGAGAGGGAACTAAGTCTAAATGTGAGATTTTTATCTAATTAGTTTGAAATCTTAACTGCTTTTCCAGTGCTTTTATTGATTTTTTTATGTCTATTCCTAAGAAAAATAACTACATTCAAAAGGAGACCCTTTATGAAATATATAATAGCATATATTTATACTTGTCATGTTCTCTTGCTGTTTATCTTAATATTTCTTTTTAAAAAGTAATCTTGGTGTTCTTGAGAATTTCTAGGAGAGTAAATTTTAAGTTTCTCACCAGACAAAAAAATAAATATGTGAGGTAGTGCATACGTTATTACTTCAATTTAGCCATTCCATAGTGATATATATTTCAAACATGTTGTAAAAATATCTGATAAATATATACAGTATTTGTCACTAAAAAAAGTAATCTTGGCAAATATTATGGACTATGGAAATGTTTTTGTAAGCTCATAATTTTTCCTTGCTTGATTTTCATGAGCTTACAGATGCTCTTCAAAGAAATGCCACGAACAATTAATTGGCAGTAATGAAATCTGGGCAAATTTTATATCACAGCAATAAAAGTTAGCTTTTATTGAGTGTTCACTTTGCTCTATGCTAAATGTAATTTTTGCCAAATGATGTTCATATATTTTGTGTGTACTGTTTTTTATGAATAATATTTTTAATCGACAATTCATAATCGCATACATTTACTCATATATCATTTTTATGTAATCCTCATAGAGGCATGAATTTATTCAGTATTTATGTTCATAGTTGTTCCCATATTAATTTTTTTAATTGTTATACTAGCCTTGAGGACAATCAGTGTCTTGAGAATATCTTACAGTTGAAAAGTGTGTTGTCTCACAATAATTATTTATTAATGGATCCAAACGTTTGCTAGACTTTATGGTAAAAATGTTAATAAAATGAAGAGAAAGGGAGGAAGGAGAAAGGAGAGAAATAAGAAGAGGAAGAGGCTATAACCTCTATGTCTAGAGATCTGGTTGAAGCCATATGACCTAGAAACATGAGACAACCAAGATTAAGGTATCAGGCAATGTGTAATCAAGGGTGGACTATGTGGTGGTGCGTTGCAGGAATTCCAAGTTGGGAAAGGTCACTGAGATCTGAGGTTAGTTCTGGTAACTCCATGGGCAATGGAATTAGCCTCGCAGGGTGTTAGGATTCGTTTGCTCTTAGGCAATTGGTGAGTGGCCAGTGATGAACAGGTGATATTCCGGGTGTAAGGACAAGTATGAGAGAAGTCCTAGAGAAAAGAAGCTTCCAATGTAACAAGTACAAGGGATCCAAGGGTTTGAATTTTTCCTTGCAATTCTGACATCATGTTTTTTATACTTTTTAAAGAAAAGAATATTGATCATATTCATATTTTTTTCTTAAATAAGAGAGTATGAGGATATTTATGGGAGCTAGAGGGAGCATAACTTCACATATAGTCTGAGAAGTCAGTACACCCAGTATTCATTTGGGACATGTGTTGCCCATGCTTCTAGAGTTACAAGAGAACTAAAAAGATTGTGTTTTTCCTGTTTATTACCTTAACCAAAAATTTGTTAGACCATATTTTGCCCTACAAAAGAGGATTACAATAGAAACTCTCAACAAACTCGTGTGTATTTTCCTTGTTGGTAGTAAATACTTATGGACACCCTTCTAACATTGACATCCTTTATTTCAGTGATTCTCAGCCTTTTTTTTTTTCTGCCTCTTTCCACTGCTTTTTCTTTCCTTCACTCCAGGGTGCCAGTCCAATACACCCCCATCATCTCTTTTTACATAAAATGATTATTCTAAAGAGGGGTAGGCCTGGGGAAGATTTGTGTCAGAATCTCATAGAAGGGTATGGAGTATATATGATTTCAAAGTTCCCCTTGGAAATATTGGTATATCCCCTCCCCATGCCCTTTGCTATATAATAATTTTATAATGTATTTTAAATTCCATGCTGAGCTTGATATTTTTCTGGGGTGTTATTAATACATTGAATTATTAATAAATTGGAATAAATTATCTTTTTTCAGAAACTTAATTTGAAAGACTGTTAAATTTTTCTTGCTTTTGTCTTGTCTTTTTTTTTTTTTTTTATTTTCTAGATCCCAAAGTCCAGGAGTGAAGGATCTATTCAGGCCCACAGGGTACCACAACCAGAGCTATCCGATGGCATTCCTCAGATCAGCCTGTGGCTACATCGTAGAAAACCCTGCTTGGAAGACGTGAATTCAGCAGAGGATGCAAGTGGTGCCACGTTGGTATCCAGGTTGGCATGTTCTCTTTTTGTCTACATGATACATATTGCATCATCCACTCTGATCTGTAGGCCCACAATGTAGGTATGTCTGCATGTATCTGTTACTGGAGTCAACAGGATACAGATCAGTAGAAATATTTACAATTCACTCTAAGTTTTAAGAATTTTCTGACTAATAGTTCTTATCACAGAAGCATTCTCAGTTATTATGTGTTCTGGATTGAAACACGTTATTTAATCAGTAGGACTATGCTGGGCTCACAGGTAAAGTGAAAAAGTTATTTTTTGAATGTCTTTTCACAATATGTTCAGTAGAAAACATTATGTGCAATTTAAAGTGGAGATCAGAGTTGTCCTTAGAGCCACTCTCACAAACTAATTCTGAACGCCGTTTTTTAACCCTTACATGTAACACCTAAAAGCAAAAGCAGATTTCTCTGGTATACTTGAAGAAAAAGATGTGCAATTTTCTTAAAATAGGGATCTGAATCTTATTTACTACTTACTACTTTGTTTACTACTAGCATATAGAATTTTTCCTGTTAATAATTTTTCATCTTTTATTATAACTTTATTTTTAAATGAAAACTGTTATACGTATTAGGGAGTTCTAGGGAATCGAAAGATGTTTAAGGCATCAAGTAGAGAAAGGAGCTTGCCACTTTGGGTTGCCTTATAGAAGAGATTGAATTTGAGCTGGATACAAAAAGATGAAGATAATTTAGATAGGAAGAGAAAGACAACAAGGGTATCCTAGATAGGCCCAGTTAGGAGGCAGAATGGGTGTTTTGGAAATAATGAACTGAAATTAGTTGGAGATAACGCTGGAAAGGTGGAGTGAGGCCAGGTCATCGAGGATCTTGAATGCCAGGCTCAAGTATTTTTGCATTCAGTCTTTCATTCATTCAACGGATCAGGCAGATAATCTCTCGTTCCAGGAACTGTTTTAAGACAGGACACGCAACAGTGAACAAAGCCGATCAGGGCCCTGTTAATGAACCTTACATTCTAATGAGGAAGACAACAGACACAATACAAAAAGCATGTGAGGAAGACGATTTCAGCTCTAATAACTGAGGTGTATTGAGAAACTATAACAGGTTAATATAATAGACTGACTGAAAAATCATTTAAGTTTGAGTAGTCAGGGAAGACCTGATCTGAGACAGGAGGAGGAGGGGAGAGTCTGTGAAGATCAAGGAAAGAGCATTCCAGGCAGAGGTAATAGCAAATGCAAAAGAACTGAGGTAGAAGAAGCTTGGTTTCATCCTATAGGTAATAGGAAGCCAGTGAAAGTTTGAGCTGGGTAGGGGAGGGTGATAGGTATGATGGAGAATTGGGATATTAGGGGAAGTAATCTTCCATCAATGCACAGGATAGATGGGGGAGGGGAAGTTTGGAGGCAGTTACAGTGTTGGTTCCTTCAACAAATACCAATCTTTATTGAGATCTAGTTATGTGGCATTTACTGAAGAGACGTAAGTCCTACTCTTGGGGAGACAAAAGAAAAGCAAATAAAAATTTTAATAATTATCTTTAAAGACATACTTACTAAGTGCCTGTTGTGTACCTGACACTGTGAAGTGAGCTGGTGACAAAATTATAAATAAGATTCAGGCGCTTCTCTCGAGAAATATAAAATACAATTCGCAGGGTGCTATGCGAGGACAGAGGAAAGGCGCAGAACCAAGTAGGGAGATGGGGGTTAGAGCAGGTTTCTGAAAGAGGGAGACTTTTGAACTAAGGCTAGTAGGATAAGTAGAAGTTATTGGGCAGAGAAATAGAGATAAGGGTGCCCCTGGAAGGAAAAGACAATATGTGCAAGGACATTCAGGGCTGTGAGGACAATTCGGAGGAGAACTGCAAGTGCAGCAGTAGATTCAGAACATCTGGATTTTAGAATGTAGAATGTAGGGGAGGGTAAAGGTGGGTTAGGAGACTAAGCTAAATAGGTCAAATTATGAAAAACTATATCCCATATTAAGAAGTTAAAGAGTGAGGAGTAATTGGAGAAATATAAGAAAGAAAAGTGTGTGTGTATATGTATATATATATATTTTTTTTTTTGACAGTCATAGAAACTGTGAAGGCAAATGATATAAACAGACTTGTATTTTATGAAAGATCCTGTGACAACAATGCGGAAAGAAAGAGGGATGAGTAAGAGGTACTGGGAGCCCAGCAAGGAGGCTGTTGGGTAATTCATTGCAAAGCAGAAGCCTCCATGAAGTCATGGTTGTTACTGAAAATGAGGTGTGGACAAGTCTTTGTCCCTGGAACAGCAGTCCCCAACCTTTTTGGCACCAGGGACCGTTTTCATAGAAGACAATTTTTCCGCGGACCGGGGAGTGGGGGGATGGTTTGGGGATGATGCAAGCGCATTACATTTATTGTGCACTTTATTTCTGTTATTATTACACTGTAATATATACTGAAATAATTATACAGGTTGGGGACCCCTGCGTTAAAGAAGTGTGAGTGATGAGGCTATTGCTTCCAGGAGGACTTTGCCCAGAAAGGATTGGAATTTTTTAATGTTTGTTTTGTTTCACTTGGAGTATTAAAATATTATAACGAATAAAATGTAGGCAGGTTTATATGCTTAATGGGCAGAGCCAGTAGAGAGAAAGAAGCTGATGTTGCAAGCCACGGGAAAATAGAACAAGTCCCTCCAGGAGAGAATTCGAAGACCAGGTGGCAACACTCATGCGGGGCAGATCGGGCTGTACACAACAACAAGGACACTCTTCACGCTACAGCCTCTGTGAACAAACAGTGCTGGGCAGTGCACCATCTGCACAGCAGAGGGGAAGGTCATAAGCTATTGAAGTAACCTTATTGGAAAACTTAAGAATAATAGATACAAAACACTGGGTCTTTTTAAAGTTTTCTTCTCTAGTTCAAAAACTACAGTCCAAGTGGATATGTGACAAAAGCTAGTGTAGATGTTATCTTACCAAGTTACTTTGTAAAGAATTATGTCAAGAATGCCTTAAGTGAAATAATGAAAAGAAAAATTTAGATGTTTGTTGTTTATATGGTTTTTATTCATCTAATCAAAAAACGAAGGGGGAAAAGTTCCCTTCTAAAGATAACAAGAAAAGAGCTTTCTGTTTGGAGGATGAATTTGTATTTCTGAGCTACAAATCAAGAAGCGAAATGATGGAGGGAACGTACAACTAACTGTTGCTCTAGCCACTGTTTGTTCCTCTGGTCAGCGTGTTACAGCCTCAGTTAAAACAAATACTTATTTGTCAGCTACTCAGAAGGCTGAGGCAGCAGGATTGCTTGAGCCCAGGGGTTCCAGGGTGCAGTGAGCTATGATGACGCCACTGCACTCTAGCCCAGGTGACAGAGTGAGACCCTGTCTCCAAAAAAAAAAAACCAACACAAATACATGATTGTATTTACAAATTTCTTACGTACTTCCAGTTTTTTAAAGTACAGCCAGGAAACCTTAAAGGTTTAGGGAGAACAATGTCATCCATGTTAAATCTACCCACCATCACACAAACTTTTTCAACTTCCTGTCACTATCCATAGATTTGTTGTATCTGCAAAGAGATTTTTGCTTTTTACTTTTGATTTACCTCCTTGTAAATTGTGAGACAAATTATCAAAAGACAATTGGAGATAATTAAAATAATTTAACTAAAAATAAATTTTAAATCCTTTATATATCTTTGAAGTAACAAAATAGGTATTATACCACTTTTCATTTCAAAAATGAAATTATGAAGCTGTTTTCATTTGCGGTTACTTGCCAGAACAAGTTGTTGGCTATTAAACAAAACACACACACACTACTTTCTCTAAATCTTCTCCTTAGCAATTTATTATTTGCCCCAGTCTTAAATACAAAGGTTGGCAATATGTATTGAGTACATTTTTATACCCCTGTTTTTGCATACAATATTTGCTTTGGCTTGCCAGCTTTTTTCAAGAAATTCTTAAGAAGCATTTAAGCTGGGCTTTTCCTAATATTGAGTTTTTTTAGTTGCTCTTTGAAAAAAAAAAAAAAAAATTCAGCAAAATGTATTTTTGTTTGGCCTGTAACCTGGTAAGTCTGATTTATTTTGCAAGCAGAAAAAATAAAATCATTCTGTTTGCAATTATTAAAATCAGTGTAACACATTTATACATAAGAGTTTGGTTTTCAGCAGAATCACCACACTGCTCTACACATAGATAAAACTGGCAAAGTACTGAGATTTTCTGAATAATGAAGTGCCCTATGATTTTTCAACCATCAGGTGAAGGTTGATTTCTGGGGCTTTTCAAGAAGAGCAGTAATTTTTGGCTGTTAACAGTCTGTTTTTGATAACTTTTAATTTTATGGGTCTAGACTTCGTTGCAGGTTTTTTTTTTTCCAGATTGACTCTCTCCAATCTTTTTTCTTCTTAGTTTCAAATCTTATACATAGTCTCATTACTGCTTGAGATGTAATGGAAATATGAATTATTATCAGCAATAATGTTCATTATTTTTGTATTCAGATAGTGTCAGTAAAAATAAAAGCTTAAAGGAGTAACACATTTTAAAATGTGACATTTTGAGAGTTCAGAGAAGAGTTGGATATCATTTATTTGTTGGCTGATTTCTATCTTAGAACGTTACTTAGATTAATAACTTATTCTGTATTTCTATAAATTTAAAATTGGCACTGAGGCAGTAATCATATAAACAATCATTTTTCTAATCTTCATAGAATCTTTCTCTCACAATTAGAGTGGCTTCAAGATAAAAGTTTAAGAATATATATCTCTTGATTATGCTAGAGCTCAGTGGAATGATCTACTTTATACTGAATTCAAAGCCAGAGATGAAAGTTCTTAGGGACATGTTCATTTTATTTAATGAAAACATTAGTTAATCTAGCTCTATCACCTAAAACTGATAGCAATTCCAAAAATACTGTTAAAATATATTTTTTTGTAATAAAGATGTACATGGCACTAAAATTCACAATAGACTCAAAAGCATAATTTTAATCTGACATACCTATCTTA